TCCCTGTCAGTCACTGGCACCTCAAGAACCATCTTGTCTGCTGAGTAATATGGTCCATGCAGTAGAGCAGCCTGCCCAGCAGCCTGGACCTGTTGAGGAGCCTTTTCCTGTTCTAGCCCCCACACAGAGCTAGCAGAGTAACACCACGTGAGGATGTGCTGTCTCCAAATCCAAATAGGCCCACTATCTTAGTTCCTTTTCTGATGCTCTGAAGAGACATCATGACCGAGGCAACTTATAGAAGACAGAGTTTCTTGGGGCTTACTCCCAACAGTTTTAGAGGGGGAGTCCATGGCCGTCATGGTAGAGAGCATGGCGGCAGGTGGGCAGGCATGATGGTAGAGCAGCAACGAGAGCTTATGTTCTGATTGCAGACATGAGGTCAATCTGCTCAAGTTAGGGCTCTGCATCTGGTATAGCAGCATCAATAGGGGTCACGACTATTAAGTTTTCTTTTGGGTCTGGGGGCATGCAAATAATGGGGGGCAGACCACCAAAGTCTATGAAACCAGAAGCAAACTTAATTCCAAAATCACCCATGGAGTACACAAAGCTTACCTAGGACCATAGCCAGAGTTCAGGCTTCTGAAATTGTGGCAGTGGGGATGGTTTCCATGTCCTTTTTTATAGTAAGAAGTAACCATTAAGTGTGAGCAAAGGAATTTTTACAGTTTCAAAGTTACAGAGACATGGTGCATTTTAAGATTTACAATTTCACTAATAAAGTTTTAGCTAAATTGTTGTTTACAGAAGCCTGCAGATATTCTTCACAGAGAATTCTGTTTGCAAAGCACTTGACAGCTTTTCTGGCCCAACTGTTTCCCATAGCAGGGAAGGATACAAAACATTGGGAAGCTGAAAGTCACATAGGAATGTTTAGTTAAAGTTTATGGGATGGGATGTATGCTAGGAGTCTCATGCAAACCTTTATTAAAAGTTAACTTTGGTCCATGGCAGTTGTCAGTCGTAAGTGGCAGGAGGTTATTGTAAAAATCTAACCCACAACTGCAGAGAGCCATTGTAAAAACGCTAACCTTTGGTCCCTAACAAAGCTGCTAGCTTCTGTTCTCATTTCTCTAAGTCTATAACTTTATATTCCTGTATTCCTGGACCCTTCATTCAGTAAGTCAGCAGGCATTCTCCATGGTCTGCATAGGCCAGACAGGGTACTAAAGAGAGGCGTGGGAGCCACCAGCCCTGCATCTTCGTTCCCATGGCGGTGTCATTTCTGTCATTGCCCCAGGGATGCAGCATGGATTTGGTCCACTGTCATCCCTGACAGAGGCGACTCCTGTATGTTCCGTTTAGTCTTTCCAACTAGGCTAGCTGTGGCTCCACAGGTCATGGATTCTGTGAGTTTCTAATTGTATTTATTCCCGTCACACATTCTGGGACTTGGAAGTAACTACAGGATGAGTTTGTCCTACTGAAACCCTAACATTAGCTGAGACTCCATCAGTCCCTGACCTCCTAAGCCCTTACTTAGACTGCATGGCCACAATATTTCTTGTGGTCTTTCAGAATCAGGGTCAATCAGAACCAGTATCCATAACACCTGAAAGTCTGACTGTTTCCTTTCTCCCAGCATATGGTTTGCCCTGTAAAAGGTCATAGGTCCCTCTGGGGAAGGATGGGGGAAATTTAGACAGTAAAACTCTTAGATATTTTATCAGGGTTCTTCCTCGAGGGAGCTTGCGGACCAATCAAGGACCTGGCTGTTCTTCATTCTCAGGGTTCTGGGTTTGCAAACTGGCTCACATCTGGAAATTGGTTCGTAGACTAAGATTAAGATTCCCTATTGATCAAATGTGAGCTTAATTTGTTTGGGAATTTTCTGCTTATACAGATCAAACAAAAACATGATAGACTTTTTATCTATTTCTTTCTTGGAGACTGAAGAATTCATATGAATTGTGCCACCATAAAAAAATCACTTTGCCTGTGCTGCCTGTCATAGGTCAGACTATTTCTTAAGTCCATCACTTTGCTTGGGCTGCCAATATAGTAACTACAATCACCTTACCTCTGGCGATTCAGTGTTGCCAGATGGCTCCCCTCCCCGCCTTACTCCTGGGCCCAAATAAGCCCAGTGCGTTCATTTCATCCGATTAAACTGTAGCCTCTGCAGTCCTAAGGTTGCCACAAGGAAAACGGTGATGACAAAGTTCTTCAAGTGCGCAGCTGTTCCTGTAAGCAAGGGTGCAGTGAGCCCACTGAATAAGACCGCTCCATGGGTAGAAAAAAAGGTTTATTGGGAACCAAACTGCCAAGGCTGGGGGGGGATGCGGGGTGACAGAAGAGCAAAATGCCAGAAAAGCAGATTTTATATACAGCAGGGTGGGCATCTTTTTGCTGATGCAGGCTGTTCTGATTTATGCAACCAGGAGCTAGATAACTTTGTCTGAGTTACATTGACCTTGGAGGACAGATTAAGAAAGGTTCCTGAGGGTTTAAGGAAGTTCTCTGTTTATCCAGTAACAATTTTTCTGTTTACCTGGGCCAGTGTCAGCCGTCACCAGCACCATGACGGGGTGGGGGAGTGGGGGTAGGGAGTGGGGCTTTGGTTTTAACACCCCTCTCCCCCCTCAACATTTTGTACCTTATAGCATTAGTGCTGGGCATGTCTTCTGGGCCTTCTCATTGTGGAGGATTAAAATTTTACACAGTGGAAAATTCTAGCATTGCAATTTCCTGAGCCTTCACATCCTCCATCAACAATAAGTAAGGGATATCAGGCATCTCTAGCTCCTGTTCAACAGGCCATCTTATGACGAATGCTCAGGACCCAAGTGAAGGAACTTTTGGCACCCTTTTTAAACTTTCTGTTAAACCGAGCGTCTCCCTCAGTCCGTCCATGTTGAAAAATGCAACCTGGTCCAGTTTTACGTTCCTTCTCCACCATTATCCCACACATATTCCCCAGACTTGCGCTGAACGAATTAACAAATACATTAAACTCTGGTAGTGTATTTTTTTTTTTATTTTATGATTTTTATTTGCTTCAGGCAAGGTGATTTTCAACATTGTCAGAACATGGTGAACTTTGTCAAGAATAACAATAATAACCACTGTATTTTTAGAAATGTTGAAATATGGAAGCGGCGGGGCTGCGTCCCCAACACCCCGGCCGCTTGGCTAGCTTATGTCCGAAATAATAACACACAAACTGTATTCATTGAAACACTGCTTGGCCCATGAACTCTAGCCCTTACAGGCTAATTCTCGCACCTGGACTAGCCCATTTCTAATAATGCGTGTAAGCACCCCAAGGTGCGCTTACTGGGAAGATTCTAACCTACGTCCATCCTGGGGAGCTTCATGCGTCTGCCTCAGAGCGCAGAGCTATCGTGTCTATCCGGCAGAGCTGAGCATGGCGTCTCTCTCTGGTAGTGTATTGTTCCTCCTCATGGACTACACGTCCTACCTCCTCTACACTTCCCCAACATCTCCTTCAGGGAAGGCCACTGGGCACTCTGCAGATAATGTAGGATTAATTCTCCAGGCAGAGATGAGAAGGACAATAAAGCAGGTTGAGGTGGAGATACTGCTTCCTCAGATGAGACACATCCTTCAGAACAGTGTTCGAAGTCACCAGTCAGTGCCCTTTAACCACGGATAGCCTCCAAAGGCTGAGACTTGGATTTTTGTTGTAATTCAGCCAGTCTTATAATAAGGGTTGTGATTTGGTTTTCCACAACTCTGTGGCTTCCTATTCTCTTCCCGGGCACACTAGAAACCTTTAGACTGTGTATCTGCATCTGGAACCGGTCAGTTTTTTCAGGGCTCATTCTTTTCCTTTGTACTGCTTCCTGCAGTGCTAGAAGTCATTCTTTTCCGTTGTCAGTTTACCCAGAGATGCTAGAAGCAGCCAACCAGCATCATTATCTTCCTGAGCTTCTACAGATTATCAAAAGCTTTATATGTTGAGTCACTGAATTCCTTGTCTCTTACAGTAGGTGAACCAGGGCAATCAAACTTACCTCAATAGCTTTGTCAAGTAGTTCACACCATAAGTGCTTTCTTTGCTTCTAGGAGAGGCTTCAATAACTGTAGGTATCGGCGAATTGCAAAGTCTACACTCTATGTACTTAAAAAAATTCATCCTTACCGTCTTTTTTTTTCTAGAATCATTCATGGTACCACAATCTGTATTAATTTTGGTTCTCTAGGAGGAACAGGTAGAATAAATGTATATACAATAGAGAATAAACAAGTATATGTACAACAGAAAACCAGGTACCATTTGGCGGTTGATTTGTTAACAGTGACATGCACACACACACACACACACACACACACACGTGTTTTTTCAGAGTAGCTTACAGATTGAGATTTTACTAGTTCAACGATGATTGTCCCCAACAGAGAAGCCAGGAATCTGGTAGTTATTCAGTCCAGGAGGCTGGATTCAGCTCGTTTTCTGTCTGTTTTAGGATCTCAGAGAAATAGGTCCTAATACCAGTGAAGTAGTGCCTCAGCAGCGGGCTGGATGGACTTCCCAGCAGGAGTGGGCAAGCAGCCAAAAAGTAAAAGCTGCTTTCTTCCATGTCCTTTCATGTGGCCTGCCAGCCTGTGTGCCCAGCATGGGGTGGGTCCCCCCACAGCAACTGCTCCAGTCAAGAAAATCCCTTGCAGGTGTGCCCAGCTGCTTGGGTTTTAGTTATTCCAGATGCAGTCAAGTTGACAACCAAGATTAGAGTTGTGCTTTCATAGTGAGGTGAATTTACAGGTAGAGGGTATGAAAGAGCCATGGGGTTGCTGAGTGCAGGGTGTGTGTGTAGTCATGTGAGTTATGCTAGACTCCCATCTCATGTGAGTAAGGCTAACATTTTCTTTGTTGCTGTAGCTTTCTTTAGAGCAATGTGTGATCTGGAGTTATGTCCAAAAAATCCTAAAAGTGGTCCAGACTTTAGGCTCTGTTCATCCCCACTGATGGTGTGAAGTGCTGTCTGTGGGCTCGTGCAGTGTTGTGTTGTGACAGATGATGTCTGTCTCCCTAGATGACACTTCTAGAGGGCAGCATTGCAGTCAGTGGGACCTTTGCTTATGTGGCCCAGCAGGCTTGGATCCTCAATGCCACTCTGAGAGACAACATTCTCTTTGGCAAGGAGTTTGATGAAGAAAGGTAAGACGTGTTTGGTTTCTGTCATCTTTCCTTTGGCTGTGTGTCAGAGAAGGCAGCCCTTTTCAGGAGGGTCTTTTTGTAAACACGTCCCTGATTGCTGTCACTTTGTGCCCTTCAGATACAACTCAGTGCTGAACAGCTGCTGCTTGCGGCCTGACTTGGCTATTCTCCCCAACAGCGACCTGACCGAGGTACAAGCCTTCTTCCCCTGACAGGCCACCGTAGCACAGTTTGTAGGAAGAGCTCTGGAGGACTTTGCGTGGACGTGGCAGAACCCCTTGCTAGGAGAGTGTCTCCTAGGAGAGAGCCACACGGGGAATTTTGCTTTCATCAACCGTTATGCCAGAAAGGCTTTTTGTTGGTCAGCCTAAATACTAGTGAATATACCTAAACACATGACATGCAGATCTTAAGCATATCACGTTTGGATTCCAAATAGTTTTGTTTTGCTCTGTTTAAATATTTTTTAGCAGGCCATGGTGGTACATGCCTTTGATCTCAGAAGTTGGGAAGCAGAGGCAGGTGGAAGCCAGCCTGGTCTACATAGCAAGTTCCAAGGCTATATTATGAGACCCCATTGAGATGTGGGGTGGTGGAAAGAATTGAGTAAATATTTTTTAAACTACAAGTAAAGCAATTACATATTGAGCTTCTTTCTCATTTCATCTGCCTTCTACTAGGTAAGGAGAGCCTTAGAATAAATCTTCGTCCTCTGTCCTGAGCAGGCTCTTGTGTCTGGCTCTTTTGTTGAGCTGACTTCAGTTAAACCCTCAAACCAGATGGATTTAGTAGTAGTTTAATTAGCTTCTAAGCTTTCAGATCTTGGTCTCCAGATCAGGTCATCAGCATCACTTGGAAACTTGTTAGAAATGTACAATGTTAAGTTACACTCTTAATCAACCGATTTTAATAAACTACATACCAAGTTTTAGAATCTCTGATTGATAGCATGTTTTATTTTGCCTGGTATTGGAACTGTAAAGGACTAGGACTGTAGTTTGTATGCAGAAGAAGCTTGTAGGTAAGGGGGTAAGAGACCCAGATAAGTTAGCACAAAATAAAAAGTCTATGGGGATGAGTAAGAAGTTGGAGGAGGTTCCCAGAAGAGGTGGCACCACAGTCAAGCAGGCACAGTGCAGAGAAAGGGATGATGTCATATGGGTTCTTAGTGTCCATGTCCTAAATCTCAGGGAATGGGAGGTTGTATGTAACTGTTTGGATTCTTTCAGGGGTCTTGAAGGGTTTTAGGCAGGGATAAAGAATGGTCCACTTTTTGTTTTAGAAAACTTTGTGAGGAAGAGAGTGACCTGGGCAGAGTCAAAGCCACGTGTAGGTCTGATTGGTACTTAGATGGTTGTGGGACGGGGACCCCTCCAGTCCTTAGGAAGATCGAGTCAGTTTGGGTAGGGGAGAGGAAAGATGACCATTCTGGATTTGAGGGCTTCCCTTTGCTTTTGGATTCATAGATTGGAGAGCGAGGAGCCAACCTGAGTGGTGGACAGCGCCAGAGAATCAGCCTTGCTCGGGCCTTGTATAGTGACAGAAGCATCTACATCCTGGATGACCCCCTTAGTGCCTTAGATGCCCACGTAGGCAACCACATCTTCAACAGTGCTATCCGGAAGCACCTCAAGTCGAAGACAGTTCTGTTTGTTACACACCAGTTACAGGTATGGTACCTTCTCTTCCAGACTGGTACAAAGAGGAGGGCTCGGGCCAGCTAGCTCTGAGACAACTAGAGATTCCTACTGTTTTCATTTCCTCGCAAAAAGCCTCGTGACCAATGTACCAGTACTTGAGTTGGCTGTCTGAATCAGGAGTCCTTGGAACATACTGGTTCTGCATGTAGATCAGCAAGTAAAAGGGCTGAGAAGAGCAGCTGGACATAGAGTGTGGTTGGGAATGGGTTAGTTTGGTAGAAAGCATCGTGGTTGCGTCTGTAGGGAAGACACCAAGCAGCTTGCCTTTTAACTCCATCAATCCGGGAAGACGGTCATCTCAGGTCTGCTCAGGACTGTCGCTGTCTGAGTTGTCAGTTTAAATTTGGCGGACCAGTGTCCCTTGTTGCTTTAGAAAACCTGTGTACTTCTGCATGTAGTGAAAGGATTTGAATTAGTTATTTGATACGAGACAGTCTTGCTGTCTATCCCTGACTTGGCTTTCGCTTTGTAGACCAGGCTGACCCGTGCCACCGTCCTCAGAAATTTAATGGGAAGTTTGTGCAGCTCCACCCTCAGAATCATAGGAAATACTATCTGGCCTGTGTCATAGGGTACAGTAAACTAAAGCAGAGGTTGTCCGTCTTGAGACTGTTAACACCGAAGACTGGTGACTCTTTGTGTGATGGGGGTTAGGGGTGGTCTGCTCTGTGCAGTCAGGTCTTGATCCACTCTATACCAGTGGTATCTCTCCCCTTATTTTGACAATCTAAGATATCCTTGTGTTGCCAAGGGACAGCCGAGTCATCTCTGATCGAGCATACCAGATTAAGATGGGATATTTGGGTGTATTGCATGAATATCAGCAATTCTGTGTTGTCCTTGCCATTGTCTCCAGTACCTCGTGGACTGTGATGAAGTGATCTTCATGAGAGAAGGCTGCATTACAGAAAGAGGTACCCACGAGGAGCTGATGAACTTAAACGGAGATTACGCTGCTATTTTTAATAACCTGTTGCTGGGAGAGACACCTCCAGTTGAGGTAAGGTTTTTTGGGTTTGTGGTCTCATTTCTGCTCAGGGCGACATGATGACAGCGAAATGGAAAGAGCCTGTGTTTCCTGTGACCAGACCTCTGTGCTGTGCTCACCTGCTCATTCTCCTGTGGGAGAGCAGGATAGGGTGAGATTTAAAGACTGTGTGCTAATAAGTGGTCTCAACTAGGCTCCTTCCACCACGGTTAAAGCGGTGTGAGGCTCTCTGCATGTACAGGTGAGGTGTCAGGAAGGAATTAAATGCTGTGTACATTTGGAAATGACCCATGATGTCTTGGACCTTGATTTGGCACTTAGGTGCTCTGGGTTACGTCCTTTAGATACTGTTCCATTGGCATTTTATTAGAGATATATGGCCAAATATGTGTAAAAAGGAGACTGCATTTTTGTTTCCTGGTCACCTATACCCAAATATCACAAAAAAACTATATTAATTACTATACATTTTGGCCAGTGGCTTAGGCGTATTCCTAGCTAGCTCTTATATCTTAAATTAACCCATTTTTATTATTTTATATTTTACCATGAGGCTCATGGTTTGTTATCTCACATCTTCCTTCTTGGGCGACTACATGGTGTCTGCCTGACTCCGCCTCTCTTTCTCCCTGCATTCAGTTTAGTTTTCCTGCCTACCTATAATTTGCCCTGCTATAGGCCAAAGCAGCTTCTTTATTAACCAGTGGTAATAAAACACATTTATAGCATGCACAGGTGAATCCCACATCAAATATGGTTCTCTCTCCCTTAGAGGGTAAGTTGAGGCTCAGCTGGGTCGAACAGCTTGCTGATGTGGATGGTTTGATCCCAGGTTTCTTTGTATCTGCACCTGCACACCTCCTGTGCAACACCCAGAGGCCAGCTTCCCGTGCCTTCATGCGGCTCCAAGCTAGGACAAACACGGCATGTGTGGAGTGGTCTCAGAGGCCATGCTTCCCTCTGACAGCCTCCATGTCTCCTGCAGTCCTGAGGGTGACTGCACTGGGGTTCAGGCTGCCACGTTGCTTGCCAGGTCATTCTGAGACTGACATGAAGTAGCATTACCTGGGACCCTCTCTCGTGTCTTACCTCAGTGTTTCACTCTTGTGATTTCATAGGCAGTGCAGCTAACCATCCATACCTGATTTGTTAGGCCTTTTTTTAGGCTTCCAACTTTCCTGGGATTGCCAGGGACATCCATAGAGACACTTTGATTCAGGTTTAAGTTTTATGATCCGCCATGACTTCTGGGAAGCTTTACACTCACCAGATTATTACCTTAGCACTGTAGAATTGGAGGGGAAAATATGAAGGAGAGAAACTAAAATATGAAATTGTCCAAGGAACAAAAGCTAGACACCGAACAGCTAGAATGTTTAGCTGGGAAGTATGCGTTCCAAATGTTAAGAGGCCAACAGGATGCTTCAGTGGATAATCTCACTGGCTTTGTAAGCCTGGCCACCTGAGTTCAACTCCCAGAACCCAACAAGTTGTACTCTGACCTCCACATGTGCACCATGGCATGTGCACCCTGACACACACATCATACTAACTACTTAAGGTTGCTGCATCCATTAATATGTATATGCGTCCCCAAGTAAGTGATCCACAGATGGAAATATTTACTCATGCAGTGAAGTAAGTATTTTAGAATCCTATCTTCTGTCCTAGATACAGCTCTATCTGGATTTCATAGTTTTAAATTTTTACTGTAGTGCTGTGGCACAATGTTCTGTACCCTGTCATTGTATTTTAAATGAACGCTGGTGCTTGTTGACAGAGATTTCTGCCCCACCTGATCCCGCAGCTGTTTAGTCCCAAAGAAACTCACAGAGGTCTACATTAATTATAAACTGATTGGCCTATTAGCTCAGGCTTCTTATTAACTCCTATAACTTATATTAACCCATAATTCTTGTCTATGTTGGCCACGTGGCTTAGTACCTTTTTTGGCGAGGCAGTCACATCTCACTTCCTCTGTGTCTGGTTGCCCCGAATGCAGACTGAAACTTCCCTCTTCCCAGAATTCTCTTTTCCCTGCCTCTACTTCCTGCCTGGTCACCCTGCCTGTGATTCCTGCCTGGCTACTGGCCAATCAGTGTTTATTTAAAATGCAAGTGACAGCATACAGATCATTGTGTGTTTGGAAAGTCTAGTTGGTAAGCCTGCTGGAGATATGATAATATCATGTAAAATTGAATTCAGTGACCTGTACAGAGGAAAATTTCTAAAGATGTAGAAGGAATTTGGAGAGCACTGAATAGGGTTTTTGTTGGTGTTTTTTTGTTTGTTTGCCTCAGATTCAGTTTATTGAATTCTCTTTTATTACCCTTGTGCCCTGTCCTGGGTAGTTCTGGCAGTAGGTACTGAGTAGTGGATAGCCCTGCGTGAGAACTCATCCTTGCCTTGGAAGGCATGGAAGGTTAGTTACCGCAGGGCAGACCAGTGCTTCCGTGCTTGCAGTTAATTCTAACCAGATACTGCAGTGTGCTAAGAGTACTGGGGAGTGTGAGCTTTATTGCAGAGGAATGTAAGTTGCCTTCAGAGGACGGAATATTTGAACCCATCTGAATAGGGACGTCCATGTCTGAGATTGGAATGAGGCGGGGACCTAACTTGGACAAAGATACAGCAGTGGGAATTTGAACTACGGTTAAGGAATGGTGTGAAGTCAAGTAGCTGGAGAATGGGAGCTATGGGAAGCAGTGAAATGAGGGGGAATTGACAGCCCCGGCCAGAATGCAGAGATCCTGCAAAAGCAAGCAGGAAAGTTTGGGGTTCTTCTGTGGTAGCAGAGGGAAATGGTGGCATCTCTGGATTTGAGTGAGTAGTGGCAGGTCAGAAACAGGAATGGAAGTGACCCCAGTGCTACTTAATCACTGGGAGAAATTGAAGAATAGTATTAATAATGATTTATATTAATATATCAATTATAGAAAATTAACAGTATTATCAATACAACTATATTATTAATAATTATATAGTGACTGTATATTAATCATTATTGACATAATCTTGTTTTGGAGGTTAGGTCTTGAATGGCTCAGTAGAGAATAAATGTCAATAGACTATCAGGGTAGGAATCTGGATCCCAAAAGATTGAAGGGATTGAGTTAGTACAAGAAATTAATGTAGATTATTGTAGGTGACTTTCTTAAGAATGTAGGTGTGCCGGACATGGCATCTTGCTTGTGATCCCACCACTCACGAGGCTGAATAGATCAGGGTTAATGTGAACTAGACACAGAAACCTGGCATCAAAAATAAATAAGAACTTGGGTGTATCTTTTATTTATATTTCTAGTCAGTGAATGGTTCTCTAGAATGTATCCTGTAGACATTCATCTGAATGAACATCTTATGACTGGAGTTTTTTTTTTTTTCAATGTTATTAGATTAATTCAAAAAAGGAAGCTAGTGGTTCACAGAAGAAATCACAAGACAAGGGTCCCAAACCAGGGTCAGTGAAGAAGGAGAAGGCAGTGAAGTCAGAGGAAGGTAAGGACGTTTGTGAGAGTTATGTCATTTATCAGGAACAAAGCTGTGTGGAGGTGGGTGTGCCTTGGGGTGTGCCCAAACAAGGGAAGCCCGATAACCTTTGATCCTTTGACCTTTCTGCAGCATAGGGTGGAGTCAGCTCAGGTGATTACAGCTGACCCAGGTGCCTGCCTTCTTTCTTTGCTTCCTTCCAGTTGCCTCTGTACTTGAATTGAAATCCCATTCAAAGCTGGGTGTCCAGTGTGCCTTGTGTTAGAGTCTGTGCTAGACTGGCAGGCTTGTTACCTGGTCCCGGTGCTAGACTGGCAGGCTTGTTACCTGGTCCTGGTGCTGTTTGCAGAGAGCAGCCAGAGGAGGTACAGGTGTCAGTTTTCCTATTCGGACTTCCTGAGAGTCTCAGAAGCTATTTGCTGTAATGGAGGCATTGTCATGTTTGTGAATTTGAAGCGTGTGTCACCTTTGAAATCAGGAGGAAATGTCATTGTTCGATGATCTCTTTGTTGAGATCATTGAACCTCCTTACCTAATAACTAGAATTTTTAGGACAAAAGCCTGGGTTCTGGTAACAACAGTTAACGGCTCAGCCAAGTTCTGAGTATACCAAGTAGTGATGAAATTAAGAAAGGATGTTATTCAGCATGGTTTCCTTGGGAAGAGATACTGAGTGAAGCCATGTTCACCTCAGAGTTCTGACACAAGCTTTCGGATTAAACAGGGAGAACCGGGACAAGCGGCGTGCAGTCCTCATCAGTGGTTCTTGCCCATCCTTGTCCTGGTCTTGAGGGGATCTGTCTGTTTTTTACAGATCGTCACTTCTGTTCCATGTTGCAGCCCTGCTTGTATGGATAACTACCCTCCTGGGTGGGGAACTATCGTGTGAGGTTTTATTCTTCCTGGAATCCAAAGGTCTGGGGTCATTCAGAGATTCACCAGTCTGACCAAGAATAATCTTAACAAAGAGGCTTTTTATTTAGATACTAGGCGGCTAGGGCTGCACCTGGGACACAGGATTCCCAGGATGTAGCATCAAGTCCCAGAGAGTCAAGGGTTTATAAAGGCAAAGAAGCATGTGGTGGTTGCATTCCATTTATGTGCAGGCATGCATCCTGCAGTCAGAAGGTTACACTATGTTTAAGTGAGGTCACAAGCCCATAGCAAAAAATGTCTTGTAAGAGTCCTGGTTATCTTGATTGAGCAGCTTTGTTTACAGAGGTGGAAGTAGTGGTTAACATTGTGACCATTTTCTTGGGTACACAAGTTTCATTAAAATTGTACAAGCCAGGATGCCCCTTAACTTGCCTTAGCATTCCAGGAAGCATCCCTCCTTAGCCCAGTGAGGCTTTTAGGTTAGAGAGAATGGAATTTTGTCTTACAGACTTCTTGACCACAGTAGTTTAAACTTGAAACATAATGTTAGCCGTCAGTGAGAGTTTAGAAAACAGCCTAATCCTGGTGCCTTCAGCCTGGGGAATGGAATAGGCTTTGTTATTGCGTTTAGTGCATGTTTCTATGTTTCAACGGCCTGTCCGCCAAACTATGACAATTGTCTTCATTGTGGTTCTGACAGGCAGGGAACTGTGTGGCCTCATCTTATAGATGGTGCTGAAAAAAGGTTCAGTGAATGAGTGTTTTGGTAGGAGGTAAAATTTTTCCTCCCAAAACAGGGTTTCTCTGTGTAGCCTTGTCTGTCCTGAAACTCACACTGTAGCCCAGGCTGGCCTCAGACTCAGATATCTGCCTGCCTCTGCCTCCCAAGTGCTAGGATTAAAGGTGTGTGCCACTACAGCCAGCCAGAGAGGAGGTAATTCTGATCTTTGAGGCTGTAGGTTCTGTTATTCTGTTGTATACTTGAACTGAAGGCAACAGCCATATTAAAGGGGAAATGCCCCAAAGGAGTGGAAGGAATAGAGCCCAGCTGGAAAACTAGGATTCATCAATTGAACAGTTCCAAACCCTAGGTTCTGAAAACCCCTGCCAGTGTGCTCAGGCGATTATGGAGAGAAGTGCTGGCTGTAACTTACCCAGTTACCTCATTATTTGGCTGTAGCTTGACTAGTTAACTTAGGTCCAGGCCCATCAGGTCTTCCTGCTGCCCACCAAAGCTAGTTTCCATGACTAAACTCTGATGGGTGGGTTGTTTGGGCGGGGTGTAGTGCCTCACCAAATCCACAGCTTCCTACAGAGTTTTCCTCCCTTCTAAAGTCCTGCTTTTTCCCTCTTTCCCAGGGCAGCTTGTGCAGGTGGAAGAGAAAGGGCAAGGCTCGGTGCCTTGGTCAGTCTATGGTGTCTACATCCAGGCAGCAGGGGGCCCTTTGGCTTTCCTGGTTATCATGGTCCTCTTCATGCTGAATGTGGGCAGCACTGCCTTCAGCACTTGGTGGTTGAGCTACTGGATTAAGCAAGGAAGTGGGGTGAGATTACTCGCTACTGAGACTTCTGTGTCTGGAAATGTGGCCTTGTTTCCCCAGCCCCTGACTGTTCTTAGGGCTCTCCCGTAGTTTCCACTAAAGAGAAACATTAGAAACGTCAGTAATCTGTCTGACTTTGTTTTGTGTGTCAGTTGAAAGACAGTTTGAAGGAGAGAAAGCATTGAGCAGGGATGTGCGCAGATGGGGGAAAGGATGCTTAATGTAGTCTCACAGAATAGAAAAAGTCCCTGGCTACCCCAGGGGCTGTCGAGCTAGTCAGTAAGTAGAGCAGCTATGTATAGTAGGTAGGTTCTTTGTGTTTGCCATGACCAAGTCCTAGGTCATTCCCTGTGTTTCTGTCCTTGAGCTGAAAATGACCTAGGTGTCTCAGGAATCTTCCCTTACCTCCAACCAGAACACCACAGTGTTTCAAGGGAACAGAAGCTCTGTGAGTGACAGCATGAAGGACCACCCGTACATGCAGTTCTACGCCAGCGTCTACGCCCTCTCCATGGCAGTCATGCTGCTCTTGAAAGCCATCCGAGGAGTTGTCTTTGTCAAGGTGCACCAGGGGGTGGGCCGTGGCATACCCTCCCCAAATCATGCCAACGGCTTGCTGTGGCATTTGTATGCAGTTGGGTGGCCCCTGTTAGCCACCTATGTCTTCTGACCATTTGTACTGACCCCAGTGTTGGGAATGGGTGTCCTGCAGAGTGGTCACCGGCATTAGGAGGAATTGGGCCTTCCTTGAGTACCCAGGTCTCTGGGCCATGATCATTTTGTCTCTGCTCCCCAGGGCACACTGAGAGCCTCCTCCCGGCTCCATGATGAGCTCTTCCGAAGGATCCTTAGGAGCCCCATGAAGTTTTTTGACACCACCCCAACAGGAAGGATTCTCAACAGGTTTTCCAAAGACATGGATGAAGGTATCTCTCACTGGTCCTTTCTTTCCTGCTCTGGAGTCCAACAGTGCTCACCGCCTCCTGCCTTCCTGGGTTCCCCCCAAATAAAGAGAAGGTGCAGCTTTGTGCTCCTGCGAGTGAAAACAGAGTTCTGGCATTTGCATCAGGGATGTTTTGAGTTCTCATTCTGCCTATCTGACCTGAACATAAAGTCAGAGGGTCAAGTTAGCAGAGGGGCTTTGGAAGGGTGGTCTTCAATCCCAGAGTGCAGCTGCAGCTTCTAATGAGCTTTCTGGGGCTTCGTGTCGTGGGCTATGCTGCACCAGACCTCAAAGTTTTCCATCATCCTCCTGACCTTCACTGAGGGATGGCAGTGCAGCAAACAACAGTGTGTGTTTTATGTACCTTGTCTTACTCCACACACAGCTGTAAGGCATTTGTTGGTACCCATCAGTACCCAAGACGGTTATATCCAGAAAGGCTAAGTTATTTGCCCAAGGTTAAACAGCTGTTTGGCCATGTTGGGAATTGGGTTCAGATCTTTTCACCTCAGAGTTAGTGTTTTTATCTGCTGCATGGTGGTCAGCTCCATAGGAGGACCTTGTTTCAGGGCACAGTAGGCCAGTGTAAGGCTTTGGCAAGAAGCCAAAGGAACCAGGAACAACTACTGGAACTGGTGCATGACATGTTTCTGCTTCTGCACACGTGTAGTCACACTGTGCACATTTACACATGTACACTTAGACATGCACACCTGTGTGCACACACATTACATGCATGCACATACAGATGCACACACACACAAGCAGTCAGACAAAAGACTAGAACTGTTCAGTCCTTGCACTGGAGTCTGTGGCAAAAGGATTTTGAGTTTGAGGCCATCTTGAGCTTTATACTAAGACCCTTTCTCAAAAAGAAGGAAAGAAAAGCAGCAGTGCTTGTACATAGCTGTGTCTTCGTTAAAGTACCTCTGCCTGAAGAAAGGGGTGTAGGGAGAGTAGCCCAGAAGACTTGGAGATGTTGCTGTTGAAGGTTCTGTACACTTTTTTGAATCTTATATATGTTTAAACTTTTCTTGTGTTGGTAAGAACATAGACGATCATTGTTTTCCTTTTTGCATGTTTATTTTCCAAGTATTTTACATACACATAGAATACTTTGTAGAGGGGAGAGTTTAGCAGAAGCAGGAAAAGGTAAACCAGAACAGGATGATGGAGAAGACCACCCAAACAGGGAAATGACAGCAACTGGGATAATTTGTCTTCGATAAAACTGTTAAAAGTTTTTATCACAGACCTTAGAAATTTCATGGGGACTTATTATTTTTTTTTTAAACAATTTAGTTTCATTTTTCTTGCTCATGGGCCCCAAGAGTCTGAAACTTGTTCTCTCGTGGTCTCTGCAGTGGATGTGCGCCTGCCATTCCAGGCCGAGATGTTCATTCAGAACGTGATCCTGGTGTTCTTCTGTGTCGGGATGATCGCAGGAGTCTTCCCGTGGTTCCTCGTGTCAGTGGGGCCTCTGCTCATCCTCTTCTCAGTTCTGCACATCGTCTCCAGGTAAATAGGACGTATGCAGGGCCAGTTCTGCACATGGTCCCCAGGTGAACAGGACGTATGCAGGGCCAGAGAGGAGGCCGTGGTTGCTCGTTTCCTGCCATGGCACAGAACCCGTTCTCTTGCAGGGTCCTGATTCGTGAGCTGAAGCGACTGGACAACATCACACAGTCTCCTTTCCTCTCACACATCACGTCCAGCATACAGGGCCTCGCCACTATCCACGCCTATAACAAAGGGCAGGAATTTCTACACAGGTTAGTGTTGGTGGGGGCCGAAGGCTTTGAAGGGGAACTGGTATCTCAACTGTTAGAGTTGCCGTGAGAGGCCATTCAAGGCCAGAGCTTGGGATCAGAAAACTCATCCCAAAAGGCATTATTGGTGTAACCCAACTGTCTCTGATTAAAACTCAGCCACTTGGTAAGACCTTTTCTGAGAAAATGAGACAACAGAAACACAGACCAGGACCAATGTGGATATATGACATGCTGGCCTTTTAGGATGTGTGTGTGTGTACAATTAGATATCTCTGAAAGGTTATGTAAGTAACAGTAGTTATCTTTGGAAAGAGGAGCTGGGTACCCAGAGGTTGGTAAGAAAAAGACTGACATATATTTTTGTCGTGACTCTTTTAAAACTTGAGGAGGATGTATAGCTTGTCTAGCAGTTGCTAAACAAGTATGAGGACTGGGTTAAGATCCCTTGGACCCATGTAATTGACAGATGGGCATGGAATAGCAGCCACCTGTAATCTGAGCCTTTAAAGACTAAGACAGAAGATCCTAGAGTGAGCTTGTGAGGTTGACTAGCCATGTCAGCACACTCTAGGTGTGATTGAGGGACCCTGCCTCAGTAAATAAGGTGAAAGAATGATCAAGGAAGATTCCTCAAGCCTCCACAGGCACATGTGTGCAGACACGTGCACATATGCACATACATGTATTGGTGGAGGCCACTAGTTAGTTCCTAGTCGCTTAACCCAAAATAATCACACAGAAATTGTATTAATTAAATCACTGCTTGGCCCATTAGTTCTAGCTTCTTATTGGCTAACTCAGACATATTTATTTACCCATTTCTATTAATCTGTGTATTGCCATGTGGCTGTGGCTTACTGGGTAAAGTTCTGGGGCGTCTCTCTCCTGTGGGGCTACATGGCTTCTCTAACTCTGCCCTTCTTTCTCCTAGCATTCAGTTTAGTCCCCCCCCCCCCGCCCCCGTCTAGCTCTGTTCCCCTATAGCTCTGCTATAGGCCCAAAGCAGTTCCTTTATTAACCAATGATATTCACAGCATACAGAGGGGAATCCCACATCATACATGTACACACATGTACATACATGCCCAGACTCTGCACATAGACATGTGAAAAAAACCCTCTCTCTTGTGTGTATGTGTGTGTGTGCATGCACATGTACTTGTGTGTATACTGCCTATTAAAAATTAAGTCATTTTTCATGAAAATAGAGAAAAATAGATTAGGAAAAATTATTCTGAATGGCTTAGAAAAAGCCTTCCTAATTTAAGATAATAAACTGTATGAGTGTTTTCATGGGTGGAGTGGTACAATGTTAATGTCTGGAATTCTACATTTTCTGTTCTTTCTTCTTATTGCATTTTTTTTTCCTGAAGACTTTGTATTTTACTATAAGGAGAAAAGTGATTTAAAAAAAAAAAAAAAAAGCTAAACACATATGCCTAACAGAACTTCCTCTCTAGAGTTCTGCTTACCCGTGGAGCTGAGCCTCCTTGTGATTGTGGGGCCATGTGCCCTCTTTGGTGGATGCTGCCTGTCTCCCTCCTGCCTGACTTCAGCTCACTGCGTCTTGGCTCTGTAGCCTTGGGAAACAACTTCCTGTTAGTAGCATGTTCGCAGACTCAGCATCGATCCTACAGTCGCTCTGAGAGTTTCCTTTTCCTGATCTTGGACTACTCTGCTGATTGCTTTTGAAACCTTTTGTTTTGAGGAAATGACCCCTGACCTAAAATATTTCTCTAAAGTTCAACACAGGCATTTGAATTTGGCCTCTCTGCCCATGCCTCTCATGTAGTAGATGTTTTCCTTCATGTATGCTGATGCTTTTAATGTTCTTTGTGTGTGTGTCCATGCCCATGCGTGTGTGTATGTGTGTGTGCGTGTCCATGTGTGCATGTGTGTGTGTGTGTTTGAATGAGTTTATGTACTCGGTATGTATACAGGAATCCTTGGAGGCCAGAAGAGGGCATCAGGTCCTCTGGAACTATGTGTAGTTACACATGGTTGTGAGCTGCCTTGTGGGTATTGAGAACCAAACCCAGTTCCTCTGCAAGAGCAGTCCACTGAGCCATCTCTCCAGCCCCTAGTTTTTTACTTTTTAAGTCATGATCTCATTATGTTCTCTGGTCTGGAACTCCCTATTTAGACTAGGTTGACCTCAAACTCACAGAGATCCACCTGCTATCACTTTCTAAATGCTGGGATTAAGGCAGCACCCCCTAACCTGCCCCCCTAACATCCTCAAAGTGAGTTTCATTGTTTCTCAAAGGGTAACTAGCATTAGAACACCCATGTCCTCTTCTGTGAGGCCTGTGTTTCTGAAACTTGCAGGTCATTCTTTTGGCTGAAGAACAGAAAGTACTTGCCCTGCACTCTGAAGTGTCAAGCCACCACTGAAGGTGGTATTTTATCAGATTATGTGGTATTTTATACGTCCCTTTGTTGTTCTCTTTCTTCACCACAGGTATCAGGAGCTACTGGATGACAACCAAGCTCCTTTTTTCTTGTTCACTTGCGCAATGAGGTGGCTGGCAGTGCGGCTGGACCTCATCAGCATTGCCCTGATCACCACCACTGGGCTGATGATTGTCCTCATGCATGGGCAGATTCCTCCAGCCTACGCCGGCCTTGCCATCTCCTATGCCGTGCAGGTCAGTGACTGGGCTGGAAGTGGATAGAATTGAGAATTAAAACAATCTGCTATGTATATTAATGAAATACATGTGTTTGTTTGTTTTGAGATAGGGTTTCTCTATGTAGTCTTGATTGTCCTGAAACTCACTCTGCAGACTGCTCTGGCCTCAAACTCAGAGATCCACCTGCCTCAGTTTCTTGAGTGCTGAGTTAAAAGGTGTATGCCATATTGCCTGGCAGAACTATCTTCGACCCCAGAAGTTGGTAGACAGAAACAGCTGATAACTATGATTTTAGGCCAGCCTTGTCTACATAGCGAGTTCCAGGACAGTCAAATAGAACCCTGCCTCAAAAAAGGGAGGAGGAGATAAATGTTATCTGCATAAAGAAACATTTAAAAGTGATTTTGTCTCATCTCTGGCATCTTCTGGTTTTCTGAGTGTATGCCATCCCTCTTTTGCTGTTTACATCTACTCTCTGTTTAGACTTTTGCTGTTTCCAGTATTATAGGCACAAACCTTCTCATCCCTAGTGATGGTTAAAGGTCCTCAGATAGCTCAAAATAAATTTGAGAATTTGACTACTGACTTTTTTTTTTTTTTTAATTTTCGAGACAGGATTTCTCCGTAGCTTTTGGTTCCTGTCCTGGAACTAGCTCTTGTAGACCAGGCTGACCTCAAACTCACAGAGATCTGCCTGCCTCTGCCTCCCGAGTGCTGGGATTAAAGGCGTGCGCCACCACCGCCCGGCTGACCACTGACTTTTTAAGATATTTTGACATCAGTGCACACAAGTAATCTCTATTAAATTCTAAAAGTGGTATTGGAGTTGTATTTTTTTAGAGTTGTTTTATTTTAGAAGACACTTAAAGATGCCGTGGTAGAATATGGGGACTCTGCTTCCACGTAGTCTGGGGAGGTGGAACCGAGGAGTGACAAAGTGTACGTGAGCAACACTGGCAGTTGTTTACTAAGATAGAGTTTGGTACACGGGTTTTTATTACACTACTGTACTCTTGTGTGATTCTGGCTTCTTTTTCATATTGTAAAGAGAAAAATGAGGCAAATGAGCCCAAAGAACTGTGTCTTCATGGATGTCCTGGGGTCCCCCGTGTGTCCTGTAGTAAGCAGTCTGAGGGGCACGGGTTGGGCACTGTCTCTCTTCACAGTGTTGTCTCATGTCCCTCTTCTGGAAGTGTTTTCAGTCGTTGCTCACAAGTTGAAATTTCCATTTGTTGTGGTTGCCACAAACAGGCTGAGGTCAAATAGGTGGTTCAGAAGTTACACTGCTTCAGACCTGTGTTACTGGAAAGAAAATGATGACTAGAAGGCCTTTGGCTTCGAGAGTGTATGCACTCAGCACTGTATTTGATGAAGGTAGTGATGTGGTATTAACTGCAGGAAAAGGCCTGGGCCCGAAACCTCACGCTGCGCTACACGTGTGAGCTCTGGCTGTTCTGTGTGTCACGCCCTGCCGGTGTAGGAAGTTCTTTCTTGTTGCCTGACCTGTACCAATACACTTTCTCTTGGTTTTTGTTTTCCATTTTCAGTTAACAGGACTGTTCCAGTTTACAGTTAGACTGGCATCCGAGACAGAAGCCCGATTCACTTCAGTGGAGAGGATCAACCACTACATAAAGGTCAGGATGAGGAGGCCCCTTCTGATTTTTTTTTTTTTTCCTTCCGTCATGGATGGTGGGTGAAGAGGAAGGAGCCTTACGTTCTCCCCCTGCCTCACCTCTACTTAAGAGTGTGTTTGGAATAGAAAAGGGAATACCATAAAAGTTCCCAAATAGACTGATAAATTACAGCATTTCTCTGTTCTCATCCCCTCTACTTCCCCACACACCCCTCCCCACTCTCCCTCAAGTTCATGGTATCTTTTTTCACCAGTTTTAGTTTTATGCATATACATGTTTGTATATCCATACATATTCCCAAGTATAGCCTGTTGAGTTATATAATGTACTTCATATCTGATTTTAGGACTGACTGTCTTTCACTGGAAAACCAATTGGCGTGCTCTTCCCTGGGGAAGGCCACCTGCCGCACTCCCAGCTTCCCTCCGTTGCCTCTAGTTCTTTGGAGGGTGGAGACTTCTGGGCTTTCCCCTGTGCAGTTTGGCGTGTTCACTGGTGTCCTCCTTGTTCAACTCATGTTTCGGGAGTCATGTTGGTGAGACTTTATGGGCATGGCTTCTGATGTTTCTGGGAGACACAGTCTTACAGCAAAGTTTTCCCTGATCCTCTGGCTCTTACAGTTTCTGCCCTGTCTCCCAGTGTCCCTTAGGTGGGGGTGTTTTGTAGATATGTCCATTGGGACTGGTCCTCGGGGAGGTGGCACTCAGGTCAGTTTCAGTTCCGGGGCCTCAGGGCCCTGTTTCTGAAGTACACACTATACATCATCTGAATTCTTAGTCTGGCCTAGTTGTCCTTGGCCAAGGATGGCCACCAGGGTCCCTTGCTGAGCCTTTGGCAGAGATTGGAATGGGTCTCATCTCTGGAGACGAATGTCCTTGGTCTGAGATTGGAGCCAGGCTCTGTGGCTGTGAAGCTGCATAGTGAATTCTCATCTGTTTAGGAACTAGTATGTTTGACTGTTACCGAGAATGCTGGTTCTTCCTCTCGGTTTTGCGTTTTGTATCTTGCTGGTGTCTTTCCTGCAACTCTGAATGTAATTTATGTAAAAAGAGGCATTGTAGGTGCTAGTGAGGATTTTTAGGATTTGCTCCTTTTTCAAGATCCCCAATTTTGTAAACCGCCCTGAGAACCACAGCATTTATACCGTTGCTCTTGGTGAAGAAAGCATTTCACCTTCTAAATAACTGATGTGCAGGCAGAAGAACTCTTTTACTTGAAAACTTCATGTTCTAGCAGTGATGTATATCTTCACTGTTGTAAGGAACTTAATTAGTTATCAAAAGATATTGTTTACTTACTATTCTTTTGATATAAGGTCTTCCTGTGTAGCTCAGGCTAGCCTGAAGCCATGATGCTCATGCCTTAGCCTCCCAAGTGTGGGCTTACACCATCATACCTGGCTTCCTTAGGAGATTTTTAAACATTTATTTATTTCTTTATTGGTCTCTCTTTCTACTGTGTGGGTTCCAGGGATCCGATTGAGATTGTCGAGCTTTGCCAAACCATCTTGCTGGCCACTCTTTCATCTTTTCCTTTCTTTTCTTTTCCTCGCTCCCTCCCTTTCCCCCTTCCTCCCTCTCCCTCTCTCCCTTCCTCCCTCTCCCTCCCTCTCCCTCTCTCCCTTTCTCTCTTTCAGCAGCTATGTATGTATTTATTGAGACAGAGGTTTTCTTTATGTAGCCTTGGCTGTCCTGGAACTCAGGGATCTGCCTGCCTTTGCCTCCAGGTGCTAGGATTAAAGGTGTATGCCACCACCACCCAGCTTTAGGAGATATTTCTCAAACATAACAAATGACTGTTCTCATAAAAAGTTCAGAAAGCTATGTGATGGACCTGGTAACAGCTGTTCTTTATGTTTAGCTGGTGCTTTGCCCAACGTTGTGGTCTATGGAGAGCATGTGTGGATAGAGTAAAATACTCTTGGTGAGGCCTTTGCTGGAGAGAGCAAGATGATAGACAGCGGTGGGACAGTGGACACTGCTCAAACCAGTGATTCTTTTGAAGATTGCCTTCCTGATACCACTCCACAATATGACCCAGATGCCTGTACCACACAGCAGCACAGTCTTTCCAGCTTGCCGTGTCACATTCCACTCCCCAGCCCAATACACACAAACGCGCGCGCGCGCGCACACACACACACACACACACACAAGCACACAGACACCCCAAATACTAATTTGGTGCTCTTCACCTTAACGATATGAAACCAAAGAGTGCTTGCCAGAGAATTTTTAAAACAAGAGGGTTGATGCTCTGACAGAATTACACAGGAAGCAGGAATGGGTTGCCAGGGCCAGATCCATTCTGTGCCGCTTGAAGATGAGGAACTGAAACACAGAGAGGTGAAATGGCCTACATAAGTCATACTGTTGTGGTTGGCATGTTTAGGTCACACCGCTGTGGGTGGCAAGCTGGAAGTGCAGTCTGTATTCTTGAATTATATTTATATGTTCAATAAATGTTAGTTACCTTACTCCAGTTTTAATGCAGGACAGTGGTATTCAGTTCATGGAATTCAATGAATTTCAATGAAAATGTGTTGGGGAGTGGGAAGGCCTCATGTTGCAGCCTTAGGTCTTCCCTCAGTCTGCGGCAGTGTTGTGCCAGCTGGCACTTGCAGACCGTGGCTTGGTGGCTCCGTGCCATGTCTCCGTCTTGGTTGTTAGGGTGTGAGCATTTACTGGCAACATACATGGTGGCAACTGCCTTGGCTGCTATGCTTGCCCTCTTTTTACTCTGCTGCGCCACAAGAATCTGAAGCACCCACTCTTTCCTCAGACTCTGTCTTTGGAAGCACCTGCGAGAATCAAGAACAAGGCTCCTCCCCCGGACTGGCCCCAGGAGGGAGAAGTAACCTTTGAGGATGCAGAAATGCGATACCGAGAAAACCTTCCGCTGGTCCTTAAGAAAGTGTCCTTCACCATCAAGCCCAAGGAGAAGATTGGCATCGTGGGGCGCACAGGGTCAGGTAAGGACTGCACTGGTCCTGGAGAAGTCATCCACAGTTAACCTTTGGTCGGCACACAGCAGTGTGTCGAAGATTGCTTTCATCTTCACAAACCAAATCCCTGATACTCAAGTCCTTATTGTCTCGGAAACCACCTTTCTGAGTTTGCTCTTGGCCTTGCTCTTGGGCACACAGTGCTTTCTCATTATATCTCAGAACAGAGTACCTGGAGCACATGGCAGAGGACAGTAGAAGAGAGGCTACCGCAGATCAGCACTGGTGGCATGTTGGTGGGGCTCTTAGTAGTGACTTCCTAGTAACACACGTTTCTGAAAGAGTGTGTTTGTTTTGTACACTGGTTTTGTGGCCTTTTTGAGTTTTTTATTTTTTTAGAACCATCAGTGTCTTGATTATTATGTAACACAGTGCCCCCCATTCTATTTAATGGATGTACCATAATTTATATTTATCTCAAGTTTGTAAAGAAGTGAAGCGTTACTGATTTTTCCTGAGTAGTAAGTATTGCAGTCAATGTGTGATGAATTCTCAGGCCTTTGTAAGATGTCACTGTAGCCTCCTGTTTGCAGAAGCATGTGACTGTAGATAAGGGGCTGTATTCCCTTGAAGGCAGAAATTGTTTTCTTGACCTGGAGCCGAGCCTGGTGGCACATACCTGTAATCTCAGCTCTAAGAAAGCTGAGGCAGGAGAATCACTACCAATTCAAAGCAGCTTGGGTGTAGACCTTGTCTCAACAGAAAGAAAATAAAATGGCTTTCTTGTCAAGCATTTTCCATCATCTTATTCTTATTCTTGCACTACTGTGTTACGGGCACATTCCCTCCCTGTGCTTAGGCCACAGGAAAGTCAGCAGGCCTTGTGTTGTAACCGTCCTTCACTTCTAGGAGACCCGTCTTGCTGCCTTGGCCAGGTGCCCCAGTCGTCTCAGGGAGATAACTGAAGATTGCTGCATGAGGTTTCTAGTAAAGACTTAAGTAATTGCCAGGCCTAAGTGCAGGTTTGTGTTTCCAGCTACTAGGGAGGGTGAGGAGGGAGGATTTTTGAATTCAAGGAAAAATACTAGTCTTCTCACAGGCTGAGGTTCCTTATTGCCTTTCTTTCATTTGTTCAAGACTTTTTCTGCTTCCACAGATCAAACAGAAATGCAGTAGACTTCTGATCTAGTTCATATTTAGAAACACCAAAGGTCTATACAGATCATACCACATAAAAATCACTTGGCTTGCGCGCTGCTCATTACAGGTCAGGCCGTTATGGACATGGCTTTGCCTCTGGTGCCTGTTATGGTGACTGCACTCACCTTGTCTCTGCAGTCAGTGCTGCTCTCTGGCCTTGCTTACTCGGGCACAGTTAAACCCATGGATAGTAATTCATCCAGCCCAGGAGCCCCATCTCCAGCCCTAAGGTCCGCTACAAAGAGAGAAGAATGGTGAAGCTCTTCAGATGTGCAGGTGGTTAGATGGGGCTGATTGAGGTGACAGGTGTCCTGGTTAGGGTTTCTGTTGCTTCGATGGAACACCATGGCCATAAAGCATGTTGGGGAGGAAAGGGTTTATTCGGCTTACACTTCCACATTGCTGTTCATCACTGAGGGACGTCGGGACAGGAACTCAAACAGGATAGGATCTTGGATACATGAACTGATGCAGAGGCCATGGAGGGCTAGGGGGAGCTACTCTCTGGCTTGCTTTTTCTGGTTTGTTTACCTTGCTTTCTCTTTCTTTCTTTCTTTTTCTTTTTTTATTTTATTTATTTTTCAAGACAGGGTTTCTCTGTGTTACGGCTCTGGCTGTCCTGAAGCTCACATTGTAGACAAGGGCTGGCGTCGAATTTAGATTCAACTACCTTTGCCGCCCAAGTACTGGGATTAAAGGCATGCGCCACCAATGCCCAGCTCGGCTTGCTTTCTTATAGAACCCAGGACTACCAGCTCAGGGATGGCACCACCCACCATCAGCTAGATCTCATGGAGGCATTTTCTCAACTGAGGCTCTTTCTTCTCTGATGACTCCAGCTTGTATCCAGTTGACACACAAAACCAACTAGAATACTTGTAGATAAAAGGAGACAGACTCTAGAGAAGCAGATTGCCGTTCGATCAGAGCAGTGAAGGGTGGTGGAGAGCATGTGCCCAGGCATGGAGGGCTTGGTGCTCCATAGGCAGAAAGGGGAAGTTTGGGGATGGAAGATTCTATCTGCAGCTCAGTGTTGTAAATACCAATGGAAATATTTGATGATCTCATCAGAAACTTCCTCTGTCCTCAACTGCCTGTAGATGTTATCATCTACAAGCTTCTTTGTGTAGTCTCTTGGCTCACCTGAGGTTTCTGGGTTATTAGCCCTTTATTCCAGACACAGAGAGCCTCAGAAAGAAAGGGGGATGGATGCTGTTTCCTGTTGAGTAGGGACAAAGTTGGGGTCTGTCTTCAGGATCTGTGGAAGGCTAGGTCGGGTGACTTCACGTGGCACGAGTAGGTTCTACTTGTTGGCTATGCTGGATTATGTAGTTGCCCTCATGCCCTCCAGAGAAACCTTTACAAACAGTCAATTGGATGGGGGCCCAAGACAAGACAGTAAAATGAGATGAGAGTTAGGAGACCCTGTAGGAGACCCTGTAGGGGACCTAGCCAGGTAGCCAGTGTCCTAATGTGGAACTGATTTGATCCAAGTACTGGCAGTGATTTGATCCAAGAGGAATGTCATTAAAAAGTTTAAACAACAGCAACGTGTCGTATATGACAATAATAAGGAAGAAAGAAGCAATAAAGGGGAGGAGCCAGAGTGAGAGGGAACCAAAAGCCCATACATAGACGGAGGTGTGCTCTGAATTTTTGTCTGGTGCCTAGGTTTTTAGAACCCATCTGGAAGCAGTTTGGATTTGTTGGTACAGAAATAGCATTGTTTCTGGATGAGGGCACAGATCCCATCCTTAATCAGACAGTCCCCTTTGATTTTGGAGTAGTAGTGCAGCAGCCAAAGCATGAAGTTGGTCCTGAAGGATGGTAAGCAGATCTGAAATGAACTAGTGAGACAGAAGTTAACTGATGCAAAAAAACACCTTAGCCCAGCTGCTTTAGTTGTGAGTTCTGAGTTAAACAAGGTTCATTAGAGTAATAGAACTTATAGAATGAATCTCTCTATAATACAGAATCTATATTGAAAGGGGTTTATTAGAATAATTTGCAGGCTTCTGTCCAGCTAATCCAACAATGGCTGGCTGTGCACAGGAAGTCCAGAAATCCAGTAGTTGTTCAGTCTATCTCGGTTGGTCTTCAGTGTATGCTGGAGTCCTGAAGAAGGAGACTCTAATACCAGTGAAGGAATGGACTTGTTAGCAAGGCAAGAACAAGCAGGCAAAAGAGAGCTTCCTTCTTCTATGTCATTTTATACTATATATAGGCTGTATATATACTGTATATAGGTTTCCAGCAGAAGGACTGGCTTAGATTAGATCTGGTTTAAAGATATGTCTTCCCACCTCAAGATCTGGATTAAAAGTGTGTCTTCCTACCTCAAAGATCCAGATTAGAAGTAGATCTTCCTACTTTAAGCAAAAATCCATTACAAGTATGTCCTTTATTTTTGGGTTTTAGATAATTCCAGATGTATGTCTAGAGTAGCAAGAAGAAGAATGAGTTGGATGGTCCATTAGTCCACTTTCAGAGGTCATTCAGACTGCTGTTAAGGGTTTGGAGGCTGAGACCCCTCTCTTGTGGTTGGCAAAGGGGCGATGTAAAAGGCACAACAGTTAGAGAGCCTCAGAGGAAGGTTGATTTTTAATGTAGGTACTTAGAGCTATAAAATTCTTTTATAGGACTATTCAGTGTATCTCAGAAGTTTTGTTGTGTTATATTTTCATTTTCATTTAGTTCCAGGAAGTTTATTTCTTCCATGATTTCTTTGACCTTTTACGTATTGAAATCACCTACTATTAATAGATGATGTTTATCTATGTCTTTAATCAAATAGTAGATTTTTTTTTTAAATAAAATTGGGTACCACAGTGTTGGTGCATGTTTGGGATATTGATGTCATCTTGGTTAATTTCTCCCTTGACTAGAATGAAGTGTCCCTTTGTCCTCTTCTGATTAGTTTTAGTTTGAAGTCCATTTTGTCAGATATTAAGTTAGCAATGCCAGCCAGGCGGTGGTGGTGCAGCGCCTTTAATCTCAGCACTTGGGAGGCAGAGGCAAGTCAAGTGTTTATCTAATTATTCTTTCTCAGTAAAAAATCAGGAGTCAGATATCAGGGTAAGAAGTGCCGAAGAAGCCACCAGTGACCTCCTCTCTCTTCAATTCCTCAATCCAAAGGGCTGAGAGCTTCTCTCACCCCGCCTTACTATTTCCTGGCTCCTATCCTCAGTCCTTTAAGACATCTATGGTTGATTTTGGTCAGCAGGTCTGTCCTCTGACTCAAAGCAAACTTTATTACCAGAATACGATAAGAAACACAACAGACAGCTGAATCTCTGAGTTCGAGGGCAGCTTGGTTTAAAGAGTGAGTTCCAGGACAGCCAGGGCTACACACGGAAACCCTGTCACCAAACACAAACAAAAAAGGTAGTAATGCCTTCTTGCTTCCTGGTCCCATTTGATTGGAATACTTTTGTTCATCCTTTTACTCTAAGGCAGGATGTGTTTCTAACCTGGCTGCAGATAGATGGGTTTTGTTTCTGCAGGGAAACAGATCCGTTATTTGGTCTAGGTCCTCTGTTTTATCTTCAAGAGCTGATGTTCTGTCTTCCGCCTGATTTGTTCTCCCTGTAATGGATTCCTTTGCATTTTCTTGTTGGGCTTTTGGGTTTTTCAATTCCGTCCTCATTTCAGCATGTGCCCTCTTCAGTGTTTCTATCTCCTCTCAAGTTTTAGATTGCCCCTCGTTTCCATCAGCCTGTGTCTGTGTTTTGGGATTCACTCCGGTGTTTATTGAGCTCTTTCCTCTTGTTTTCATTTTTTATGAGGTTAGGATTGCCCTCTTAAGTCTGTGTCCTGTAGTTCACCTGGGGAGTTCTCACTGGCAAGCATTTCTGCAAGACTGGTGGATTTTGGAGAGGAGACACTGACTTCATCTTTCATGTTGTTGGTGTTCCTATGACGAGATCTGTGCATATGGACTTTCTTTGTTATTTTGTTAGTTCTGAGTATTTTGCAGATGAAGCAGGCTTGGGGAGAAGAGAAGATGAAGTGGGTTGGGTCTGGAAGTTGGAAATGACTTGGGTGGAATTAAATCAGGTAGGCAGAGGAGATTGGTGTTGACACAGTACGTACTTCCTGTTAAGCCAGCAGTGTGGGGATGGGTAGGTCTGTGTGGTTGAATATGATGTAGGAGAGTCCTATGGTTTGGGAAATAGGTAAGGAGGATCTTGACCCCGGACTAGGCTGCTGCACTGCTTGTGGGACCCAGAATAGATCTGAGGTTTCAGAAAAGACATGGCTGAGGTGGTCAGGCTAGATCCTGGAGGAGGATATGGGAAGTCTGTGTGTAGAGTGTGGTAGTGGAGTTGTGTAAATCCAGTAAGTTACTTAAATAGTTCACATTACAGAATTTGTTTGTTTGTTTTTTGTTTTTCGAGACAAGGTTTCTCTGTAGCTTTGGAGCCTGTCCTGGAACTTGCTTTGTAGACCAGGCTGGTCTTGAACTCACAGAGATCTGCCTCTTTCTGCCTCCCGAGTGCTGGAATTAAAGGCATGTGCTACTACTGCCTGGCTTCACACCATGGATTTTTTGCACTCCATTCCTTTAGAAGAGCCTTCAGTAACTGTAGGTATTGGCAAATTGCATAGCCTATTCCAGATACTTAAAACATCCATCCTGGGGACCGGAGCGATAGCTCAGTGGTTAAGAGCACTGGCTGCTCTTCCAGAGGATCCGGGTTCCGTACCCAGCACCCACATGGCAGCTCATAACTGTTTGTACCCCAGTTTCAGGACATCCAACACCTTCACACAGGCATATGTGTAGGCAATACACAAATGCACGTAAAATGAAAATGATAAAAATTATTAGAAAAAAATCTATTCTTAGAATTCTATTTCTCTAGAACCACTCTTGGTATCACAATCTGTACAGTCAGGGTTTTCTAATGGAACAGAGTTGATGGGATGGATATCTGTATATATGCAGTTAATAAGAGTGGCATTAACTGTAGTCTGGCTAGTCCAACAGTGGCTGCAATGACAGGAAGGCCAAGAATCTGGTAGTTCTTCCGTCCACAAGGCTGAATGTCTCAGATGGCCATCAGTCTACATGGAGTTCCCTGAGAAGTAGGCTCTAACACAGGCAAAGGAATGTCTTAGCAGCAGAACAGATGAACTTGCCATCAAGAGGGAAGGCAAGAAAGAAGCAAATACTTCCTTCTTCCATGTCCTTTGATGTGGGCTGCCTTCAAAAGGTGTGATCCAGATTTAGGGTGGGTCTTGCCTCAAAGGATCCAGTCAAGAAACCCCTCACCTCGGTGCCCAGCTGCTTAGGTTTTCGTTGACTCCAGATGTTTTTGACATTAGCTTCTACAGTAAGCTAGTTTTGTCTTTCAGAAGTCACTCACAGAGCTGCTGTCCTGCTTGTTTGACTCATTAGGGAAGTCCTCTCTGGGGATGGCGCTCTTCCGTCTGGTGGAGTTATCCGGAGGCTGCATTAAGATTGATGGAGTGAGAATCAGTGACATCGGCCTAGCTGACCTCCGAAGCAAACTGTCCATCATTCCTCAGGAGCCCGTCCTGTTCAGCGGCACTGTCAGGTAAGAGCCGTCCCCTGGGTGGAAACCCCATGTCCTTGGGTCCAGTGTTCCTCAGGAGTCTGTGATTTCTCTGCAGTGATGATGCTTCTCCACAGGCTGCTTAGTTAAGTGCACCCTGGCTCTGCCACAGGGGTCCAGAGCGCAGAGAGGTATGGCTCAGATTTCTGTCCCGTGAACTTTCCACAAGTTACCACTCTTGAGTCAGTTTTCTCACCTCTAAAATGGAGATATTCCGAGTAAATTCCTAAGCACACTGTAATTTCCGAGCCTAGCCAGTGATAAGAGCACGAATGGTAACGGCCACCATCAGTCTCTGTGTCCCGTCCTGTCACGCCACCTCTCCCGTGGGCCGAGAGCTCCTTCTGCATTGCTACCACTCATGGCCCGTCATTTCTTTCATTTTCAACTAGCTTTCTTTTTCTTGCCTTCTTCCTGTGCCAGGGAGCTGAGCCCATTATGGGAATCTCTATTAAGCACTCTCTCTTTTTTTTTTTTTTTTTTTTTTTTGCTTTTTTCAAGACAGGGTCTCTCTGTGGTTTTGGAGCCTGTCCTGGAACTAGCTCTGTAGACCAGGCTGGTCTCAAACTCACAGAGATCCACCTGCCTCTGCCTCCCGAGTGCTGGGATTAAAGGCGTGCGCCACCACCGCCCAGCTATTAAGCACTCTTGACACCCGTCAGAGTGGCAGAGCGATGTCACTGGAGGAGCAAAGCCAGGACAGCTCCTGAAGGCTTGGGTCCTAAGTCCAGTTTGCATGCTCATCTTAGCCTCTGTAACCTCAAGGTGGGTCCAGCAGGCTGGCGAACAGAAGCATGCTTGGCTTTCAAAGCTGTATATTACAGTTGACATGTATAAGTAAGCTTTTGGGGTCAGGTTGCTAAGGGCAATGGCATATTCCTTCAGGTATTTCTCCAGGTCGTTGTGTTCCAGGTAGCAACTGAAGTCATGCTTGGCAATGGACAGTACAATCAATGCTTCAAGTGAATAAATGAACCCGTGTCTAAGAGTTGGTCTTTTCTACTTCATTCTACTTCAAACCCAGGATTCTGCAAAGCTCCTACTCTACCAATGAGCAGAGCTTCTGTTTCTGAGTCTCCTTTTGGCAAGCACATAGTTTGATGTATTTAACATTTTTTTCCATCTTTGATGCTTAGTCTCAAATATGTTTTTTTCTGAAATTTGTTAACATACCAAAGATAAAATTCCCTATTTTTTTTTTTCAAGATAGGGTTTCACTGTGTTATGTAGCCCTGGCTCTCCTGGATCTCACTCTGTAGACCAGGCTGGCCCTGAACTCACAGAGATCCACCTGCCTCTGCCTCCCAGTGCTGGGATTAAAAGTGTGCACCACCACTGCCCAGCTTTCATTTCTAATTTTATTGATTTGGATCTTCTCTTTCCATCTTTTAATTTGGCTAAAAAGTTTATTAGCCTTACTGATTTTTTACAAGGGACCAATTCTTCACTTCATTAATTCTTTGTATTGTTTTTTGTTTGTATTTTATTGACTTCAGCTCTGAGTTTGATTATTTCTTGCAGCCTCCTCCTGGTCTCAGGTGTGCTGTTAGTCTGCTAACAGATCTGAGTTTTGATACAGGTTCTTAGTGCTTGCCTCTTAGAATGCTTTTCATTGTTTCATGTTTTCTTCAGTTCTGAAAGGTTTTTGTTCTTAATTTTTGTCTTATCTTTTTTTCTTTTTTAATTCAGCAGTGCACTGTTCAGTTTCCATGAGTGTGTGTGCTTTCTGTGGTTAATATCCATGAGTGTGTGTGCTTTCTGTGGTTAATATCCATGAGTGTGTGTGCTTTCTGTGGTTAATATCCATGAGTGTGTGTGCTTTCTGTGGTTAATATCCATGAGTGTGTGTACTTTCTGTGGTTAATATCCATGAGTGTGTGTGCTTTCTGTGGTTAATATCCATGAGTGTGTGTACTTTCTGTGGTTAATATCCATGAGTGTGTGTGCTTTCTGTAGTTAATATCCAGCTTTAATCCACGGTGGTCAGATAGATTTCAGAGTGTTATTAGAATTTTTTGTGGTTGTTGAGACTTGCTTTGTGTCCAAGTGTGTAGTCAGTTTTGAAAGAAGTTCCATGAACTGCTGAGAAGGTACCATACTAAATTTCTTCAGCCATCACAGGGGAGTTATGTGTGTAAATTATTACACAGGTCTGAGAACTCTGGGGGAAGTGTCTAATTGATTGGGATAGAGCAGGCAGTGATACTTTGTCATTGGGTTAGGTCTGGCTGTCATGTCCCCACATATGGACTGTCCTTACCTATCTCTTCTTGGTTAGTTTTGGCTTGTAGCCTGTCTTGGCAGATACTAAAGTGACGCTGCCTGCTTTGATGTTTGCTTAGAATATCTTCTTCCGTCATTTTATCCTGAGGTGATGTCAGTTGTCAGTCTGTGTTATTAAGGTTTGTTTCTTGGTGGCAGCAGAACGATGAATACTGTTTTCTAATCCATTCTGTCCATTTATTTCTTTTTATTGGCGAATTGAGGCCATTAATATTGAGAGTTATCAGTGATCAGTGTTCATTCATTCCTGTTATTTTGTTGTTGTGGGCCACCCCCCCACCTCTGGATTTGCTGGTCTGGCATTGTCTGTTACTTGTGTCTATTGTAATATTGTCTATTACTTGTGTTTTCTTGGGTGTGATTAACCTCGTAGAGGTGAAGTTTTTCTTTTAGTGCCCTTTGTAGAACAGGGTTGGTAAATAAATAGATACTGCTTAGATTTGGGTTTATTGTGGAATGTTTTTTCTTTCTTCATCTTGTGAGTAGTAGTATTGGGCACAGTACTGGGCTGGCATCTGTGGTCTTGTAGAGTTTGTAGAACATCTATCTATTCAGGCCCTTCTGGCTTTTCAAGTCTCTACTGAGAAGTTGGGTGTTATACTAATGGGTCTGTGTTTATGTTATATGCTTTTTTTTCCCCTTACAGCTTTTAATATTCTTTCTTTATTCTCTGTGTGTAATGTTTGATTATTATGTGTCATGGGGACTTTCTTGTCTGGTCCTGTCTGTTTGGTGCTCTGCATGCTTCTTATACTTTTGTAGGGCCCTCCTACCTTAGGTTAGGGAAATTTTCTTCTATGATTTTGTTGAAAATATTTTTGTTCCTCTGACCTGGGTTTTTCTCTCCTTCCTCTATCTCTATTATTCATAGTTTTGGTCATTTCAGTGTCCCAGATTTCCTGGATGTTTTGTACCTGGATCCAACGTTATCTTCTAGCTTGTCTTCAATGCCTGAGAATCTCTGTTCTATCCCTTGTACTCTGTGGGGAGGCTTACCTCTGAGGTTCTTGTTTGACTACCTAAATTTTTCATGTCCAGTTTTATCTCACTGTGGACTTTGTTTGGTTAACCTATTTCTTTGTTAAAATCCACTTCCATGTCTTGAAGTGTTTTCATTGTTTCACTCAAGCATTTGTGTTTTCACAGACTTCATTGCGGGATTTATTCATAGCATCTTTAAGGGCCTTAAGCACATTCACGTTACTATTTTGAAGACTTCTTCTTGGACTTCAGCTGTATTGCATTTCCCAGGGCCTACTGTGGTAGGGTCACTGCATTCTGGTGGCTACATATTGTCGCAGCTGCTAATGATCCCGTTTTTGTGCTCGTGTGTAGGCCTCTGGGGTTGGGATGATTAAGGTGAAATTAGATGTTGATATCTGGTCTTGTCTTTGTTGGCTGGGTGTTCCTTTCCTTGGTTTCTGTTGCTCTCTCTGGATCTTAGGAAAGCATGGCTGTGGGTTGCCTGGTGCCGAGGGTTTGGAGGTCAGTGGGTGTCAGAGAGGAATGGCTTGAGCTAAGCGGGTCTCAGGGAAGAGCTAAGTGGTTCTTCACACCTAGTTGTGTGGTCCTTAGGGAGTTGGGAGGTATGAAGACGGAAGGTGGGCACAAAGTCCCACTCTGTGTGTGTGTGTGTGTGTGTGTGTGTGTGGTGTTTATTTCACATAATGTGGAATTCTCAAAGAAGTAATAAAAAGTGAGGAAGAAGGCATTTTTCTACATTTGTACAGAAAGAGATATCTGAAGGATATCATGTTTCTAGGTGTCACTGAAGGTAATTAAAACATACTGGTCTTTCTTTTGTGTTTTCATATCTGTATTTATAAATTCTTCTCAATTTGTTTTCTTTGCATTAAAAATCAAAGACTTTAGATTTTATAGAATAGGGACCCCAGTCTCAGGGGTCCCCACGAGGCACCTGTGACCTTTAGAGTTGGAATCCCGTTTTCTGTGTGAGCTTGTTTAACTACAGACAGACACTGGAATGTGGTTTGTTAAACACTGGCCTCTGAGCAATTTCTCTTACACTTCTCCCTAGATCAAATCTGGACCCCTTCAACCAGTACACGGAAGACCAGATCTGGGACTCACTAGAGAGGACACACATGAAGGAATGTGTAAGTGTGACTGAGGGAGGGCTGTGCTGGGATCGCGGGCTGGGATGTGGGAGCGCTGCTCTCTCTCTCTCTCTCTCTCTCTCTCTCTCTCTCTCTCTCTCTCTCTCTCTCTCTCTCTGTATCTGAGGGAGGGCTGTGCTGGGATCTCGGGGCAGGGATTTGGGAGCGCTGCTCGCTGCTCCTTCCTTCTGTCTGGCTCCTTCTTCTCCAGCAATCATCCTTTCTTCCTCCTCTAGTGAGTTGCTCCACTGGTAAAGGCGCATGCCATCAAGTCTCACCACCTGAGTTCAAGTTCAAGGGTACACCTGGAGGGAGGAGAGAACTACTTCCCATATATCTACTACCCGACAGATATTCTGACTCCACACTTGCAGAATCTCTCTCTCTCTTTCTCCCCCCCCCCCATACACAAATTTAATAAAATTTTAAAGCTGGTCTCTCAGCCCCACCGCCCACATTGCGCATGGCATATTTGACCCCATACTCTCCATCTACTAAGAATATATTAATGATCGCTACTCAGAACTTAATAATTCTATCGATTATAGTAGTATAACATCTGCCGGGTGGGGCAATTACACTCCTTTGATTAAACCAGCACTGGGGAGGCAGAGGCAGGTGGATCTCTGTGAATTTGAGGCCAACCCGGTCTACCGAAGGAGTTCTAGAACAGCCAGGGTTGTTACACAGAGAAACCCTATCTCAAAATTAAATAAATAAATAAATAAATAAATAAATAAATAAATAAATAAAAACCCAAACAAACAGAAATAGTGTAACATCCATATCTACACAAAAGATCTGTAATTTCTTGCTGATTCTGTAGCATGTGGTGTAACATAGATTAAGGGAGTAGTGGAACGACCCAGAAGACCCTTGCCAGCCCCCAGTCTGCAGATGGCACCACTGACCCTGAGTTTAGTATCCTCTGCCCTGGTCAGTTAGATGAGCCTTGCTTCCATCTTTCATCGAGTAGCCTCAATTTCATTTGAAGAATGGGTTCCATGATGCTTAGAAAAAGAAAAGGCTCCCAGCGTGGGCCAGACTTTGGACTTTGGGAGTAGGGCCCCATCTCATGCAAAACTGTACTTTTAGAACCAAACATAAGGGCCTACCATCCAATGGGATCTTGAATTTCTGGGATATTTTCACGGTATGAAAACAACAGAACAGTATATTACAAAGGTGAATGGCCCTAGAAAATACAGGTCCTGTACACATGTGACCACATGGATCTTTCAGATGATCAGACTGATTCTTTTTCATCTGCTTCAGAATAATTTATTTCCTTATAAGGGTGGGGCAGTTTAAGATAGGGTCTCTCTGTATAGTGCATGTTGACTTGAACTTAAGCAGTATTCCTGTCTTAGCCTTCCAAGTGCTAGCTTATAGGTGTGAGCCCCCACCCCTGAAAGGTGTGGTTTGTATCTTCACACTTCTGCCCTCTCTCCTCTTTCTAGATTGCCCAGCTACCTCTGAAACTTGAATCTGAGGTGATGGAGAATGGGGACAACTTCTCGGTTGGCGAACGGCAGCTCTTGTGTATCGCCAGGGCCCTGCTGCGCCACTGTAAGGTGAGTGTCACAGCAGGTGGCATGAGGTGGGCAGCGGTGAGATGCTGGAGCCCTACGATGCAGCCCTGCCTAGAGGTGCTGGACTCTGAGCCCAGTGGTACTTTCTGAACAGCGGTTTCTAAGTTAATCTTATCACCACTTGGCATACCGGTTTGAGGGATCTCAAGTTTTTGCATGTGTTGAGCACATTCCCTGTTTTTCACCTTCCCCCAAGCCTTTGGAATTCAAGGTCGACTTTGTTTCTGGCTAATGAGGACTTGTAGAACTGCAGACCCAGCAGATTAAAGGCTGAAGGAGACTTCAACAGGAAAGGATGTCCAGAAAAGCTAACCTAGACATGGAGCCCACGGAGAATGTGGGAGTGTTAGATTAGATCACGGAGATCACTGTTACATGTGTGTCTGTTCCTTTTGTAGAAATTGAGCAAACCATGGCTTTTGTGAATTGTAAGCAAGGGGCATTTTCATATCTATGTGCGACCCTATGGATTGGTAATAGTACATAGTATAGGATTAAAATACTGAAATACACGTAGGGAACTGGGATTAACAAGGATGCTTAAGGCAGTAATTGGATCTGTTTGTCCTCTGCTTCCCTGGCAGATTCTGATTTTAGATGAAGCCACTGCTGCTATGGACACAGAAACGGACTTACTGATTCAAGAGACCATCCGGGAAGCATTTGCAGACTGCACCATGCTGACCATTGCCCATCGCCTGCACACAGTTCTGGGCTCTGATAGGATTATGGTGCTGGCCCAGGGACAGGTATTAGGCTCCGCAGGGGCTTCAGCTTGGCCCGGGGCCTTGGGAAGAAAAGAGGCTCCTGTCGTTGAAGGACAGCCTGTCATCTTCATGTTTCTGGGCCTTCAGATAGCAGCCATGGCAGCTTAGTTCTGGGTCTTGTTGATCAGACAGGGTAGGGTCCTCCTGCCTCGGGTAATGCTTTTATGACTTATTCTGCTGTGACTTATAAGCAATGACAGGCCAGACAGCACCTGCACTTTAGTGACTTGGTCACGTGCACAAGAATTTCTCAAAGCCACCACAGCAGCAGCCACCCTGGGTTTGCTTTGTGCTACCATGTGGTGGTGCCAAACTTCTCTTCCAGTTTCTCCACGCTTTCCCATGGTCTGGTCCTAGCCAAGCCTTCTTTTATTCCCCACTCAGGTGCCGCTGCCTATGTATCCTTCCTCCATTTTCACCTTCTGTTCCATCTGCCGGCTTAAAAACCTGCCTGTCCCTAGAAGAGGACATGATTTAAATGTCAAAGCTTCCACAACACCTGGGGCCTTATTCATCCATTCATAGTAGATCTCTGACACATCTGTATGAGCTCGGCCTCCCTGGAGAGCTCTTAAGAAAGGGACTCAGGCTCACTCACCCTCAGGCCCCCATTAATGCTCACTGTTGTAGTTCTTTGCACAATAGCTAGTTGTTAAGTACAATGATGTGGATAAATACCTTTGTGTGTGTGTGTGAAATAAGCCTTGTATGGTGGGTAACTTGTTATAATATGTATTATAATATATCCATATTATAAAATATAGTAGTGATAGCACCATAATATCTGCTTCTACTGTGTGTAGTCTGGCATGCTCAATGAGTCTATGTCTCATCTTCAGTGCTCAGTAATTCTTCACAGTGAGAAGAAGCAGAGAGAATTTGTGTGTTAGAGGTGAGCTCAGGACCACAGAAGGTAGAAGAGTTGTCACTGAACTCAGACCAGTGACTCCCCCGATGCCACTCTCTCTTGATTTGTGGGACATATTGAGAGAAGCATTGATAAGGGCAGGTTCTGCCTAATCTTGAAAGCTGATTCAAGAAAGTTTAAAGTTAAGTTTTTCCCCTTATATTGTAGTCAGTTTAATATTAATATTCTGTGATTATCTGTCTTAGTTAAGGTTTCTATTGCCATGATGAAACACCATGACCAAAAGCAAGCTGGGGAGGAAAGGATTTATTTAGCTGACACTTTGGCATCACTGTTTTTCATTGAAGGAAGTCAGGACAGGAACTCACACAGGGCAGGAACCTGGAGGCAGGAGCTGATGCAGAGGCTATGGAGGAGTGCTGCTTACTGATTTCCTTCACATGGCATGCTCAGCCTGCGTCCTCAGTCCTCATAGAGCCTAGAACCTGCAGTTGGGGATGGCACCGCCCACGGTGGACTGGGCCCATTAATTACTGATTAAGAAAACGCCCTCCAGGCTTGCCTCGGGCTGATTTTAGGGAGGCGTCTTCTCAACTGAGGCTCCTTCTGTCCAGATGACATTAGCTCGTGTCAAGTTGACAAAAATCTAGCTAGGACTTTATTCTTGTTTGAATGATTCTTGTACTAAGATTCTGTTATAACTTTGATATGAAGTGCTATTTCTGTGGATGTAGATAATAAATAGAACACAACTCTTTTAAAAGTTAGAAAAACCAAGAAAACGAACATTGGGTGTGTTTATTCCTTGCTTCCTTTTTCTTTTTTTTTTTATTAATTTATTTATTTATTAAAGATTTCTGTCTCTTCCCCGCCACGGCCTCCCATTTCCCTCCCCCTCCCCTTGCTTCCTTTTTCTACCTGCCTACAAGGCATCCTGAGTGCTTCCTCTCCTGACTGGAGTCAGGTCAGCTTGCCTTCAGCCTGAGCTGAACTTTCCCAGCAGTTTGTATTAGAGAGCCGTACCGATGGGTTTCTTTATACTCTCCCAGGCGAGAGACAGGTTGTGTGTGAAGGAAGCACATATCCAATCTCCCCAACCTTTCTCTCGCTCCCTGGGTGCTGTAGGCCAGTTCAGTTGTCCTCTGTTCTGTCCCCAGGGCTTTGAGGTTTGCCACTGTTGCCAGTTACACCCTGACATGTCTCCTCTTTGCAGGTGGTGGAGTTTGACACACCATCGGTCCTTCTGTCCAACGACAGCTCAAGGTTCTATGCCATGTTTGCTGCTGCAGAGAACAAGGTGGCTGTCAAGGGCTGACTCAGGCCATCCGTGAGGTCTCTCCTCAGAGCGTTGCCATTCTCTTCCTGGTTTGGACCCCTCATCCTGTCCTGCTGAAACCTTGCCTTTCCCGGTTTTATCTCTCACACAACAGTTCAGGATTAGCGGTGTGTTTCACTTTTAGGGAAAATCATATTTTGATTATTGTATTTATTCCCTATTCATGTAAATGAAATTTAGTTTTTTGTTCTTAATTGCACTCTTAAGAGGTTCAGGGAACCATTACTATAAATGTATCAGTGGCCTATAATGAAGCTTTATATGTGTAGCTATGTCTATATGTAATTCTGTAAATAGTCTATATTTACAGGAAAAATGTAAGCAGTTTATTTTCTATTAAAGCAAGCACTGCGCTACGGGCAGTGCGCGTTCATTTCTATCGTTTTGTACAGCCGACTGCACTAGAGATCTCGTTTTGCTCTTAGCTGTTGAAAGTCAATGTTTCGTTCTCTAGCTGCTCGGTTCACGGTGCTGGGCTTTCTAGGTGTCCAGAGGACACGCGACAGCAGTGAGCCCTCCCGGCCTGCTCCTTGGTCTTCCCAGTGGGAACCCAGTGCAGCTGAGCTGTGGGAGGCCTCGCAGAGCACCGTGGCTTCTCAGGGCTCCTGCTTTCCTGTGCTGTCACTTCCTGTTTCTGTTAGAGTGATGGGGCAAAGCCCACCCCCTTTCCCTCTCAGGAATGAGAACCATAGCGTTCCTCAGAGGGGAGAGCTTCCTTCTGCCTTCCTCCTCCTGCTGTTGTTTTTAAAGATCCAGACTGCTCCCAGTGTCCCATGCTTCAGGTTCCTAGCGCTGGCCACCACAGAGCTCTCCCAGCTCTAGGGTCCACTGCTGCTGTTGTAGGTGGCATTTTTTTTTGCCTGATCCCACACCTCCAGAGTTCAGTGACAGGGCTCAGGATTGTGGGGTCCGCCCTTCCTCACGTCAGTGTCCTCTGCAAAGTCTGCGGCCCTCAGCAGCTCTTGCTAGCCAGTGTCCTCACTGGTGTAGAAGTTTTTTGTACTGTAAAGAGACCTACCTCAGGTTGCTGATTGCTGTGTGGTTTGGTGTGTTCCTGCAGACCCCCTTTGTGCTCTGGGGCCCGTAGTTTGGGTGGGTGTGGTCGCCACTGTCACCAGTCAAGTGGTCAGCGTTGCATGTCGTGACCAACTAGACATTCTGTCGCCTTAGCATGTTTGCTAAACACCTTATGAAAGCAAAAATCTGAAAAAGTGAATAAAATTATTTTGGATTTGTAAAACTCTCGTGGTATAAAATAGTTCTCTCGGAGGGGGTGAGATGTTTCTGAAATGCTCTGCAGTACTAGAGCCCTGGGTTCTAGCGCCTGCTGATGCAATTATCTGCAGGTTCTAGCGCCTGCTGATGCAATTATCTGCAAAAGGTTGTTTGCAGGGGGCTCAGGGCCCCAAATACCCCCAGCTGTGTGTGATGGGCCTTACGGCTCTACAGAGGTCAGAGAGCAGGAAGAGTGAGCAAGGCCGGGAAGTTGTGTTTCAGCCGAAGCGATGTAACTGCCTTTCATCCACTTCATTCAGACTAACCCAGTGAGAGTCACTGTTCTTTCAGAAGGGTACTTGTCCTACAGCTTTTGTGTTACACTGAATCCAGAAAGGATGTGTTTAAATTGTTAATCTAATGTTGATTCTACCACCAATTATCAGAAATTATCTCTTAGACCTAATCTGATCACTTTTTAAAAATAAGTTAGTATTAGCAAAGTGTGGTGGCACACACCTCTGATCGCAGCACTTGGGAGGCAAAAGGCAGGTGGATCTCTGTCAGTTTGAGGACAGCCTGGTCTACATAGTGAATTCCAGGCTAGCCAAAGCTACACAGTGAGACCCTGTAGCAAGTCTTTCTCTGTTCTGCCAAACAGCTCCCAAATAATGACAGAGAGTTATTATTTATGAAAGCTTGGCCTTAGCTTAGGCTTGTTTCTAACTAGCTCTTATAACTTAAATTAACCGATTTCTATTAATTTATATGCTGTCCGGAGACTCATTTACCTAATCTACAGACTGTCCATCCGCCTTTCCTGCTTCTTCCATGTCTCCCATGGCTCCACCCTTCTTCCCAGAGTCCTCTGTGCCTGCCTAGCTATTGGCCATTCAGCTTTTTGTTTTGTTTTTTTTTTTTTGTTTGTTTGTTTTTTTGGAGACAGGGTTTCTCTATAACTTTTATATCCTGGAACTAGCTCTTGAAGACCAGGCTGGCCTCGAACTCACAGAGATCTGCCTGCCTCTGCCTCATGAGTGCTAGGATTAAAGGCGTGCACCACAACTGCCCAGCCCGTTCAGTTTTTATTTAAGCCAGGCAGAGTGATATACCTTTACACAGTGTAATCAAATATCTTGGAATATTCCCCGTTTTTGTCTAAGGTTTTAACTCTACTATAGTAAAGCTATATACAGTAAGAACAATTAACAAGTAAGGATTACTGTCGCGTCCACCCTCGACCAGCAAGGAAAACGCAACACCCGGAGCTCTTCTTGCAGCAGTTTTCAGGACTTTATTCACAGTAATCTTTCTCCTTCTCCTTCTCTCTTTCCCTCTCTTTCTCCAGGCAAACCTCTCCCAGCCCTTAAGTAGGCATGGGCTGCCAACCCCGAACTGCCAGGTGGGCACTGCCCATAGGTTCACGCATATGCAGGCAGCTGATAATCATTGCGTGATCATAGCATAGGTCAGGCCTTAGCCATCTCAGGAGTTGATTATACATCTCCATCAGGTGTGACACCACGCAGCTCGCTACAGATTACATTTACAATATCCAGTCCATTTGTATTTGGCAGCCTCAAAGGAAATACTCCATTCTATCTTGGTGAATCCTAATTTTGTACCTAATTTACTTTCTATCATAACTAAGGTAAAGTATAACTATAACTAGTCTTCATCAAAGACCCCAGAGTAAACAGGAAGAACAGTGCGAGCCACTTCTACACCTATGGAAACAACTGGCATCTTGGCTGCCTTGACAGTTACTGGTGATTCTTTTGCAATGTTGGGGTATCCATCTTTGGCCTATAGGCCTAGAATATCTAGCAGACTTTTCTGTGAAGCAGGAATTTTGGAGGACTGTCTTGCCCTATCTTGGCAAAGTTCGACAGTCTTTTTCCTTTGTCCTGTTTGTCCAGTCTGTACAGCATTTTTGTCATTAGTCAAGGCAAGGACAGTTTCTTTGCCCAGTGACTAACCTTGCCATAGTAAATGCAAACTCCATATGGAGTTTCTTTGCTGCCCATCATCCTCTCTAAATTGGTGCTGCCAGGAGCAGATGTGTCTCACTGTCATGAAAAGCCTCAGGTTATTAAACATCTTAAATGCCATATTCTGTAGATTTTTGAAGACTGTCTGTCTGTGTTTAAATATATCTGTTTGGCCTTCAATACATACGTAATATGACTACAGGCTTGATTATTATAAATGACTAACTACTAACCTGCATTTCTTAATTACACATTACATTTTTAAATGAGCTGCATATGCACAATGCCCTAAACAAGAGTAGAAACATACATTCATTACACCGAAAATAAATTTGTATCAGTGTACCAAAATTCATACCAATATAAGATATTTGAGGTTAACAGTTAAATTTTTATCCTATTTTTTTTCTATGTCCCCCCCCTAAATATTGACAAACATCCATAGCCCATCAAATAGCCAAAAACCACCCACTCTCTCTCTCTCGGGAATGTGGGCGTTGTGTTCTCTAGACTGCTTCCTGTTGTCTAGGGATGTTGACATCTTTGAAGGACCCTAAGAAAATTAGGGTAATGGTCAAGTCCTAGCTAGAATGGTCTCTGAAGCTGAACCTCTCAGCCCACCCATGTCTGCTCCTTCCTATGGACACTTTCACTCACCATCTCTACCCTATACAGCACATCCCCATTCCCTTGTGTCAGCTGCTAATACCCGGAAATTCACTCCCTACCAGCCGTGGAGTCAGGTAGACCATCTGCACTCTTCTTCCTGCCTTTAGTTTCACCTCCAGCCCTGTAACAGACCACATGCTGGAATTTATCCTCCCTCTTTGTCTCCACTCCCTGGGGACTCCACCACACCTCTCAGTGGGCCCAGCTTTCCTTCTTTCTGTGGACCCTACCAGCACCTCCTTCTAACCCATTCTGACTCCTTTGAGCCAACTGCCAAAGCTAGAAACTCTGTCTACCTGGGAACCCCATGGCCACACCAGGCTAGACATTGGCTAGGTGATCTTTACTCTCTTTCCTGTCATTCAGTGTAGATTCCCCAGCCTTATCCCTAGCCTTGTAGCAGACCACTCACAGGCTGCCTCTGTCCTCCCTTTCTGACTTCACACCCTGGAAACTCTACCAAACCTTGCAGTAGACCCAGCTTTCCTCCTTTCTGAGCACCCTCACAGACCCCCCCCCCCCAACCATCTAGCCCATCCCCATTCCTTTGTGTCAATCCCCAATACCTAGAAACACCTTCTACCCGGGACCCCATGTGGACAGACATGGTGGGAACTCAGAAAAAAACCCCAAACCAGCACACTCCAGAGAGGGCAGCAGACACCAAGGAATGTAATACCCAACAAAGACAAGACCAGATATCAACACTTAGAATCACAATCATCCCAAACCCAAATGCTAAGACACCAGCAGAAAAATACTGTCATTAACACCCAAGACAGTATGTCTCCACCAGACCTAGCAGCCCTACTACAGCAGTCTGTGAGAAATGCCATATGACTGAAGCACAAGACAAAGACTTCAAAGTTAGCTATTATGATATGTTCAAGGGCCTTAAGAAGGATATGAGTAAATACCTTAATGTAGTCTGTGAATGAAATGAAGAGTTCAAGACATGAAAGTCAAAACAGAATCACTAAGTTGAGATTATCATGAACTTAGATAATTATCATTATTACTCAAAAACCTCAGAGACAGCCTCACCAAACCTCATCCAAGATTTGGAAGAGAGAATCTCAGGATTGAAGACAAGGCAGAAGAAATGGATATGGCAGTCAAAGAAAATGTTGAGCCTAAAATAGTTCAGGAAATCAGGGACTTTGAAAGACCAAATCTATGAATAATAGTAACAGAGAAAAAGTCAGAGGCACAGAAAATATTTTTAACAAAATCAGAGAAAATTTCCCTAACCTAAAGAACAGAGGTGCCTATCAAAGTAGAAGAAGCATGTAGAACACTAACTAGAACCAGACAAGAAATTCTCCACAGCACATAGTGATTAAACACTAAACATGCAGAGCAAACAAGAGCATTAAAAGCTGCAAGGAGGGAAACAAATAGCATTAAAAAAAGGAAACAAAAGCATTAAAAAGGTGTTATTAGAATAACACCTGACTCCTCAGTGTAGTCTAAAGCCAGAAGGACTTGGATAGATGTTTTACAAACTCTTATCAGAGACCACAGATGCCACCAGCTGAGATTACTCTATCCAGCAAAAATTTCAGTCATAGTAGACGGTAAAGAAAAACATTCTATGATAAAATCAGATTTAAGCAGTATCTACCCATCCAGGTCTACATATAATGCTAGAAGGAAGACATTCAACCTGAAGAGATTAGCCACACCCAAGAAAACGCAACAGTAAAGAATCCCAGACCAGCAGGGGGGCACGACAACAAAGTGTAGTGGCATTCCATTTGTGTGTTTCAACAAAATAACAGAATCAATAAACTGCCAGTGATAATTCTCAACCTCAGTAGTCTCAATTCCCCAGTAAAAAGATACAGACTAACAGATTGGATTCAAAAACAGGATCCATCCTTCTGCTACATACAAGAAACATTAATTTCCATTAAAGAGACATCGGAGGCAGGGAAGGATGTAAAAGATATTCCAAGCAAATGGACCTAACAAGCAGGTGTAGCTACTTTAATATCTGACAAAAGAGGCTTCAAACCAAAACTAATCAGAAGAGATAGGGAAAGGCACTACATACTCATCAAAAGGAAAATTGACCACATTGCAACTCTAAACATATAGGCACCAAACACAAAGGCATACAAGTCATCAAACAAACACTCAGTGATAGTGGGAAATTTCAATACCCCGTTCTCTACAATAGACAGGTCATCCAGTAAAATTGAAACAGAAATGCTCTAGTTAAATGATACAAATCGAGTGGACCTAGCAGATATTTACAGAACATTCACCCAAACATAAAAGAATATATCTTCTCAGTGGCTTATGGAACTTTTTCCAAAATTGACAACATACTTGGACATGGTCTCAACATATAGAAGAAAAT